AAAGAGGATTATGATCAGTGGTACTCATGATGCAAGCCAGGAAAAGAGATAGCACTGAAGGCTAGGGATGTAGCTCAGTTGATAGAGTATGGCGTTTGCAACGCCAGGGTTGTGGGTTTGATTCCCACGGGGGGCCAGTATAAAAAGATATGTATTCACTAACTGTAAGTCGCTCTGTAGGATATGCATAATAAAAAATAATAATAATAGTTATATAGATATATATATATAGAGGTGAAAGCATTGGAAATGCTTTTGGCGGTTAACCTGCTTCTGTTTTGTGGGTGGCACTGTGTGCTGTTTTCGATGGATGGGTCCTGGCCTCTCGGGGCCTTAGGGATACGGAGGGACGTGGGTGGGATGCTGATCACTGGGATGACGGCTCAACTTGGGATGGGGAGGGGCTTTAGCGGGGGAATTAGTGGAGAACAATTGAAGGGTTACTCCGTAGCAATGCAAATATCACGGTACAGCTATATGGACACTCAATCATTACGCTATTTTTTATTGGTAAATTTACAAACATATATAATGATAAATAGACTTGAAACTTGTATCTCATTATGGTGTATGGTGAAATAAGTATAGCCAGTTATAATTGTAATGGCTTAGCTGATAATAACAAAAGAAGAACAATATTTACATGGCTCAAAGAGAAGGAATATAATATCTATTGTATACAGGAAACTCATTCAACAATTCGAGATGAAGTAGCGTGGAAAAAAGAATGGGGGGGGGAAATATACTTCTCCCATGGGCAAAGAAATTCAAAAGGGGTGATGATATTAATTAATAGTAATTTCGATCCGAATGTGCAAATTGTCCAAATAGATACGCAAGGTAGATGGATTATTTTAAATATGGTATTGGACCATAAACAGATATGGCTCATTAACCTTTACGGACCAAATAATGATGATCCACAATTCTTTGACAATATATATAATAAATTATCAAGCCTGCAAGCAACTCAAGACAATATTATTATGGTGGGGGATTATAATACTGTTTTAAATAGCTCAATGGACCGAAAAGGAAATCACACCACAAACAATCACCCACATGCTCTTAAGGAAATTGTGAATGTCATGGATACATTAGAACTAGTAGATATATGGAGGCTTAAATATGCTGATCTAGTGAGATATACATGGCGGAGACTGAATCAAGCTAGTCGTCTTGACTTCTTTCTTATCTCATTCTCGTTGGCACCAAAAGTAAAAAAAGTGTTGATAAGGGACAGAATGCGGTCGGACCATCATATAATAGGCATATACATTACTCTGACTGAATTTCCACGTGGGCGAGGATATTGGAAATTTAATCAAAGCCTATTAGATGATAATTTATTTATAATTAGAACAAAGGAATTTATAACTGACTTTTTCCAACATAACATAGGTACAGCGAATCCCCTTATTGTATGGGACACCTTTAAATGTGCCTTTAGAGGCCATGCAATTCAGTACTCATCTCGAAAACAAAAGCAATTTAGGTCAAAAGAGTTTATACTAACAAAGGAAATAGAAAGTCTAACAGAACAGATAGATGGCAATAAAAACTGTAACATAGAGGCTCAGAATAAATTAGAGGAAAAACAAAAAGAAATGGAAAAACTTATTCAAGAAAGATCAAGTGTAATATATTATAAAAATAAAGCAAACTGGATGGAATATGGGGAAAAATGCACAAAATTCTTTTTTAATCTTCAACATAGGAATGCTACCAAAAAGAACTTAATGAAACTGGTTACAATTGACGGAGTCACCCATAATTCACCTAATGATATTTTGAAGGAAGAAACAAAGTATTTTAAGCATATGTTTTCTTTTCAGTCGCCTCCATCTCCTCTAACTGAAGCTAATTGTAGAGATTTTTTTTCTATTGATAATGTCAAATTAACAGCCACACAGAAAGACTCATGTGAAGGTGAAATTACAGAGGAGGAACTTCTGGATGCAATTAAAGACTTTAAGTCCGGGAAAACTCCAGGGTTGGATGGCATACCAATCGAGGTATACCAAACCTTTTTTGATATACTAAGAGGACCGTTATTAGCATGTTTTAACCACTCCTATGTAAATGGTAGATTATCTGACACTCAAGAAGAAGGTCTGATCTCATTATTACTGAAACAGGATACAAGTGGAAAATATAAAGATCCAGTCCATTTACAAAATTGGAGGCCCCTTACACTTCAGTGTTGTGATGCAAAAATCCTAGCAAAATGTATAGCGCATAGAATTAAAAAGGTATTGTCGGATATTATTCATTCTAATCAGACAGGTTTTTTACATGGAAGATACATTGGAGATAATATAAGGCAAGTATTGGAAACAATAGAACACTATGGAAAATATGGGAAACCAGGCCTGCTATTCATAGCAGACTTCGAAAAGGCATTTGATAAAGTTCGACTGGAATTTATATATAAATGCCTGGAGCATTTCAATTTTGGAGAATCTCTTATAAAATGGGTCAAAATCATGTATAGTAACCCTAGGTGTAAAATAGTAAATAATGGCTATTTCTCAGAAAGTTTTAAACTGTCAAGAGGAGTGAAACAAGGTTGTCCACTATCGGCATATCTATTTATTGTGGCCATCGAGATGTTAGCTATTAAAATCAGATCCAATAATAATATCAGAGGATTAGAAATACAGGGCTTAAAAACAAAGGTGTCATTGTACGCAGATGATTCATGTTTTCTTTTAGATCCACAACTAGAATCCCTCCACAGCCTCATAGAGGATCTAGATACATTTTCTAACCTCTCTGGATTAAAACCAAATTATGACAAATGTACTATATTACGTATTGGATCACTAAAAAATACAATTTTTACATTACCATGTAGTTTACCAATAAAATGGTCTGATGGTGATGTGGATATACTCGGAATAGATATATCCCAAAGGAAATAAATGATCTCACTTCAATAAATTTTAATAGAAAGTTAGCAAAAATAGATAAGATCTTACTACCATGGAAAGGAAAATACCTGTCAATTTGTGGAAAAATCACCCTGATTAACTCTTTAGTATTATCCCAGTTTACCTATTTGCTTATGGTCTTGCCTACGCCTAGCAAACAGTTTTTTAAATTATATGAGAAAAAAATATTCAATTTTATTTGGAACGGCAAGCCAGACAAAATTAAAAGAGCATATTTATATAATGAATATGAATTCGGAGGACAGAAATTATTAAATATTAAAGCATTAGACCTATCACTAAAATCTTCAGTCATCCAAAAGTTATACTTAAATCCGAACTGGTTCTCAAGCAAATTAATAAGATTGTCTCACCCACTGTTCAAGAAAGGCCTTTTTCCCTTTATTCAGATTACAACCTCTCACTTTCAGTTATTTGAAAAGGAAATAATCTCCCAAATGTCACTATTTCTAAAACAAGCCATAGAAAGTTGGTTGCAATTTCAATTTAATCCTCCAGAAACGACAGAACAAATAATGCAACAAATATTGTGGTTAAATTCAAATATACTAATTGACAAAAAACCTTTATTTTCTGACAGAATGTTTAAAAAAGGTATAATCTTCGTAAATGATATCATCGGTAGGACTGGTGGAGTTATGTCGCACATGCAGCTAACAAAAACATATGGAAATGTCTGCTCTATCCAAAATTACAACCAAATAATTGCAGCCTTACCGCAAAAGTGGAAGAGGAAAGTTGAAGGGGGAGAAAGTAAGGAACTTGTCTGTCGGCCTTGCATTAAAGAACATAATTGGTTAAGGAAAACTGTGATAAATAAAAAAGTATATCAGTTTCACTTAAGGACCAAATGATTGACAGCCGTCCCATATAGATTGCAAAATAGTTGGGAAGAGATCTTTGACGTACCGATCCCATGGCATAGTGTTTATGAACTGACACGCAAAACGACACCGGATTCAAAAATTAGAATCTTTCAATTTAAATTATTATATAAAATTCTTGCTACCAATAGAATGTTATTTATATGGGGGATACAATCTTCCCAGCTCTGCAGATTTAGCTGTGAAGAGATAGAATCATTAGATCATTTGTTTTGGTTCTGTCCATTTGTAGCTTGTTTTTGGACACAGGTCCAGGAATGGCTAAAGGATTGCAATATTTACCTGGAACTAACCTTGCAGATAGCATTACTGGGTGATCTGAAAAGTCATAGTCAATCAATCAATAATATAATAATACTTTTAGCAAAAATGTTTATTTTTAATTCACAATCTGTAGAAGCAATGAGAATAGAAAGGTTCAGAACTTTTGTAAAACATCACAGTACGGTTGAAATATATATGGCAAATAGAAATCCTATATGGATGGTGTTAAGAGATAGATGGGAGGTATTGAATAGAGTTGAAGGATGGGACTAATAACAAATAACAACAAATAATAACAAAGATAGCTAATAATGTAAGCATACTGTGTCCATAATAAGTATATAGGTTGTATGTTGGGAGCTTTTGGGAAAGAGCACAGTTAGAAAGATATGGCATTTAGAAGCAAACCGGATGGACATCATGAAAATGATCGGAGAGGTTGAGAGTAGAAGAGGTTCAGGAGCAAAAAAATAAATATATATATATATATATATATATATATATATATATATATATATATAGAATTATTGTAAAATTAACTCTGTCCATAAGGTGTAGATAGTAAGTATAGACCGGAAGCCTGGGCGTTGTTGTTCACTAATTTACTCCAAGTAGGGAAAGGATGGTGGGGTTGAAAAGTAATAAAGGGGAATATATATATAAAAAATAAAAAAAACATGGGGGATTGGAAGTGATGCAGACAATTACATTGATAGAAGATACAATCTATCTGCAATATTAAGCTGATCCATCCCCCCCCAAAAAAAAAAAAAAAAAAAAAAGTCGCTCTGGATAAGAGCGTCTGCTAAATGACTAAAATGTAAATGTAAAATGGCTAGCTACCAGAGACTCTCAACAACAGAAGGTCACTACGCAGGACATTCCCATGCAGGGTCAAATGAAGAGTTATGTCCTGCACTGGTTCCTCAGCCACGCTGAGAACAATCACAGCTATAAGTATCAAGGTCACCAAGGTCAGAAACACTATCCTCAGAACCTTTTAAGGCATCATCCTCTCTTCTCTTCCCTGTCTCCTCATAAAGATCTGTTGTAATTTACAGAGAGTGCACTAACTAAGCCCCCCACCAATACCTAACCACAATAACATGACTTACAGCAGCACCGACCGGCACAATGGGCCATGTGTGGTCACTGTTTTCCAGTCAGGGAGGGCAGGGTGCAGGCCTATTGTGCCTGTGAGTGTTTCCTCTCCCCACCTTTGATTCTGTCTGCGCTGTAGATCAGAATGGCTTCCTGTGACTCGGAGCCACCCAGCTGGAAAAGCAGCTTGGAGGAAAGGGTACCAATATGACCGCTCTGTGTTTGTGTTCTCCTTTGAACTCTAACCCAGATTAGTGTTGATTGGCCGATACATACTGGGCTCATGTTCTGTATCGCTTCCCCACAGAGCCTGAGAGTGTTTTTGTGTGTGTGTGTGTGTGTGTGTGAGTGTGCGCATGTGTGTGTGAATTGCTGTGTGTGTGATCTTTCAACTGTTGACTTCTCATGGAGGTTTAATTTGAGAGCGTCCCTCCCTTTGCCAGGAGCACTGTTCTTGAAAAAGGACATTTTAAAATGTATCTGCAGTCTGCCGGGGTTCCACTGGCACAGACACAATTAAGATGCCTCAGACACCCCAATGTATCACTCAAGGTTTAAGGAGCAGTTAAGGACATTTCTATATACTGCACTGTCGCTGAGCCACCACTTCTGTGTGGAATGCCTTCTCCAAGTCTACCTGTAAAAAGGTTCATAATTATATAGGCTAGTTGGCAGCAGATTTCCATGACCGTTTGACTTCACTTCACTTTATTTGGATATCTTTGATAAGTAATTTTGAATCGGGTAACATGTTTTGTAAACCACCTGTGTATAATACATTTATAACACCTTATACAGTTGCTGTAAGCATTCTTTACAGTTCATGGCTCTTGATAGACATACTGTACATGTTTCTGTAAGTATATTCCAAAGCCATTACACAGAGGTGGTATATATAAATAGTTACTAGTCTTTCTTGACTTTTGCTCCTGTCATTATATCCCCATCTGTGGGTGTTGTCTCCTGGCTATCACCACAGTGTGTCAGCAGCATAGTAATAAACCCCATCAGCTCAGGAGACCTACCTGCCTTCATTAGAAGGAATTTCTCCCTCTGCCTCCGCTGATGCCTCCCTAAAGCCAATTCGGCTTATGAGACACTAATGATTAATTTCACAAAGTCATATTCAGCCACTTCCAAAAAGTGCTGTGTTTCCTCCCTCTTTTTGTTTCAGACTTGATGGTATTTCTATGAAAACAAGCAGCGGGACGGCAGGTCAGATCCACTCAGCATTGGTGGAGGATGATTCTCTCCACTGGGCTGTAATGTTTTTACTGTTATTATACTTTTTACTATGGATGTTTAGCGAGTCTGCTCTATAGAATAATATCTACTGTAGGTTACCAATGACTGCAGCATTGTGGAGATTACCTCATACACTAGATAAGAGAGTGTTACAGGATGCCAACAATTGTGCTCCACCAGTGGGTTTTACCATGGTTGAAAATCTGTAAATGCTCTGAGAGTAGACCACTAGCCATGACTGACATGAGGTCAGAGAGACCAGGACTGAGTCACATCATCCCCTGCTGACCTCCTCTTGTCACGCCTGCTCCCGCTCCCCCTCCCTGACGCTCGAGGGCGCCAGGCTGCCAATCATTACACACACCTGTCACCATCGTTACACGCATCAGCGCTCATTGGACTCACCTGGACTCCTTCCCTTTGTTAATTACCTCCCCTATATCTGTCTGTTCCTCTGTTTGATCCCTGTGTCACCATTGATGTTGTTTTGTTTCCCCTGTCCAGACGCTGTCTGTGTTTTCTTCCATGTTTTTATTTATTAAATCATCACCCTGTACTTGCTTCCTGTCTCCCAGCGTCTGTCGAACCGAGATCGTTACAGAATGCAGACACACAAAATTGGAAGCATCAGGAAGTTTTTGTTTTGTTTTTGCTGGGGTTGGTGACGTCGAGTCCGGATGCCGCGGCCGAAGGAACCGGGGGTGCCTCAGCTGGCTTGTCGGGCTTCCATGCCTTAGCTGGCTCGAGAGGTTTCCTTGCCTCGGTTGGCTCGGCAGACTCCCATCCCACGTCATGCCTCAGCCGGCTCGTCAGGCTCCCACGCCTCAGCCGGCTCGTCAGGCTCCCACACCTTGGCCGTCCCGTCAGGCTCGACAGGTTCCCGCGCCTCGGCCAGCTCGGGATGTCCTTGTTCCATCGCGCTCTAGCGACTCCTTGTGGTGGGCCGGGCGCATGCACGCTGACTTCGGTCGCCAATTGTACAGTGTTTCCTCCGACACATTGGTGCGGCTGGCTTCCGGGTTAAGCGAGCAGTGTGTCAAGAAGCAGTGCGGCTTGGCAGAGTTGTGTTTTGGAAGATACAAGGCTCTCGACTTACCCTCTCCCGAGTCCGTACAGGAGTTGTAGCGATGGGACAAGGCTAACTACCAATTGGGGAGAAAAAGGGGTAAAAATTACCCACAAAAAATAAGAACAACAACTGCAAAAAAAGCTAAATGTATTACTCCCTAGAAGATCATATATATAGTACATTGTATGTAGCCAGGTTCCGCACTTCTATATTTTTTACCCCCCAATTTCGTGATACCCAATTGGTAGTTACGATCTTGTCTCATCACTGCAACTCCCCTACGGACTCGTGAGAGGCGAAGGTCGAGAGCCATGCGTCCTCCGAAACACGACTCTGCCAAGCCACACTGCTTCTTGACACACTGCTCGCTTAACCTGGAAGCCAGCCGTACCAATGTGTAAGTGGAAACACCGTTCAACTGACAACCGATGTCAGCTTGCAGGTGCCCGGCCCGCCACAAGGAGTTGCTAGAGCACGATGAGACAAGGAAATCCCCGCCGGCGAAACCCTCCCCTAACCCGGACGACGCTGGGCCAATTGTGCGCCGCCCCATAGGTCTCCCAGTCACAGCCGGCTGTGACACAGCCTGGGATCGAACCTGAGGCTGTAGTGGCACCTCAGCACTGCGATGCAGTGCCTTAGACCGTTGCACCACTCGGGAGGCCAAGGTTCAGCACTTTTGAGAAATACACATCAAAAGACTCAAGGCAAACAATTTAACTTAACTGTCACTAGCATGTGCTTTCAGGGTACTGTAAGAATTCAATCTGGATTGTGGTGTACACTTTTTTAACTGTAGTAAATACTACTGTATTGAATTTGCATATACCCTACACATTCCCCTCCCCCATATCTCAATTTGTGCCACCCATAAGTGAGAAACTTACATGCTAAGTATAGATCATATATTGTGTTCCATACAGATTATAAGAAAGAGCAGAAGCTCTAAACTATCCGTTCAGACCCTAGTCCTAACTACCTACAGTTTATGGAAAATGTTCTCTTTTAGTATATCTCCAATAGGGTTCCTCAAGGACAAAGCCTCCACTTCTATGTCAAAGATAACAAAACAAAAACACTATAGTACATACTATAGTATATTACAGTCTGCAAAAACACTACAGTAAATACTACAGTATACTACAATCCGCAAAAACACTACATTAATTACTATTATGTTTTACTACAGTATTTATATTATAGTTAACTGTAAATACTACAGTATACTACAGTATTCACTGTAGTGTTTTTGCAGACTTTAGTCAATACTACAGTAAAGTCCGCAAAAACACTGAAGTGAATACTATAGTATTTATACCATAGTATACTATAGTATTTTCTTCATGTGGGCAGTTGTCGTTCTGCAGAGCCCAGGAACAGACAGCAGAAAGTAGAGTTCAACCAGAGGTCAGAATCAATCCAGAGGTCATGGTACACTATATATACAAAAGTATGTGGACACTCCTTCAAATTAGTGGATTCGGCTATTTCAGCCACACCCATTGCTGACAGGTGTATAAAATCGAGCACAAAGCCATGCAATCTCCATAGACAAACATTGGCAGTAGAATGGCCTTACTGAAGAGCTCAGTGACTTTCAATGTGGCACCGTCATAGGGTACCACCTTTCCAACAAGTCAGTTCGTCAAATTTCTGCCCTGCTAGAGCTGCCCCGGTCAACTGTAACTGCTGTTATTGTGAAGTGGAAGCGTCTAGGAGCAACAAAGGCTCAGCCGCGAAGTGGTAGGCCACACAAGCTCACAGAACGGGACCGCCGAGTGCTGAAGAGCGTAAAAATTGTCTGTCCTCGGTTGCAACACTCACTATCGAGTTCCAAACTCCCTCTGGAAGCAATGTCAGCACAATAACTGTTCGTTGGGAGCTTAATGAAATGGGTTTCCATGGCCGAGCAGCCGCACACAAGCCTAAGATCACCATGCGCAATGACAAGAGTCGGCTGGAGTGGTGTAAAGCTCGCCGCCATTAGACTCTGGAGCAGTGGAAATGCATTCTATCACGCTTCACCATCTGGCAGTCCAACGGACAAATCTGGGTTTGGCGGATGCCAGGAGAACGCTACCTGCCCAAATGCATAGTGCCAACTGTAACGTTTGGTGGAGGAGGAATAATGGTCTGGGGCTGTTTTTCATGGTTCGGGCTAGGCCCCTTATTTCCAGTGAAGGGAAATCTTAACGCTACAGCATACATTGACATTCTAGACGATTCTGTGCTTCCAACTTTGTGGCAACAGTTTGGGGAAGGCCCTTTCTTATTTCAGCATGACAATGCCCCTGTGCACAAAGCGAGATCCATACAGAAATTATTTGTCAAGATCGGTATGGAAGAACTTGACAGGCCTGCACAGAGCCCTGACCTCAACCCCATCGAACACCTTTGGGATGAATTGGAACGCCGACTGTGAGCCAGGCCTAATCGCCCAACATCAGTGCCCAACCTCACTAATGCACTTGTGGCTGAATGGAAGCAAGTCCCCGCAGCAATGTTCCAACATCTAGTGGAAAGCCTTCCCAGAAGAATGGAGGCTGTTATAGCAGCAAAGGGAGGACCAACTCCATATTAATACCCATGATTTTGGAATTAGTTGTTCGACGAGCATGTGTCCACATACTTTTGGTCATTTAGTGTATAACCAGTCCTGAGATGCCAGGGTTCATTGTAGCTGATTCCCTTTGTGACCTCACAGACGGATCCCAGGCCAGAATTCTGCCTCTGGACAGGTCTGCTTTCTAACATATTCCTACTAACCAGACCTGACCAGACACACACATCATCTAGCAGGCCACTACACATCTACTACACACCCTGTTCAGCAGATCATTCCCACCTAGCATGTCCATAACGATGCTCCCACAAAGAGTGATTCCCTATGAGGTGGGGCTCTGACAGTAGTGCTGATACCCCTGTCCACCTTGACTAAAGAAGGGGCTATTTTTAGAGAGGGACGTGGTAGGAGGTTTCTCAGAGGGAGACGTCCATTATTCATTAACGCTGTGCGTGTCAGCTCTCTCTCTTTCACTGTCTGTGTGTTCAGCTCTATCAGAGAGGTTAGGGCTCTGCTGCCGCAGCCCCTGTTCTCAATCACTCTTCTATAGTGCTCTGCACCCTCCACAGGCACATGTCCATCTCTGTGTTTCCATGGATGTTTAAATTATTCATGGCAGGGCCATTACTGGGAATGCTCGTCCCCCTTTACGCTCCATCCCTGAAAATCCATCAGGACGAGACAGGTGATCCACGCAGGACATTTGCCGGAATTCCTCTGCGGTGGAGTGAAAGTGCCCAGGTTCCTGAACACTGGTATGAATCACTATGGGTGACATTTGGGTTAATTATTTAAGACCTCACTAGAGGACAGACCATTCTGTTAATGTGTGTGATTGCAGGCTCTCAGTCAGCACCACAATGAAATAAAGTCCTGTTGTGATCCTTATCTATCTTGGTGTTGTCATTACACTCTGTGGAGAGCTGACGATGGGTGAATGTTTCCGACGGGAATCACTGTGCTTCTCAGTGCTACCAGTGCCAAGTCCGTTTTTAATGGCATCTCAACCGGGGAATTGTGTTTACTGTGTGAAGTGAATGGCCTCGAGCGTGGTGGAGCGTTGTAAGATCAGGGAGTTTGTTTGCACTGTAGCGCTTATTATCTCGATTTTATCCTTCAATTTTACACTTACCAATGTCTGGACACGGACTTAAATCGCTGTCAAAACTGTCTGGCATGCTCTGGTGGTTACAGAAAATGACCCCTTTGAGCCACCGTCCACTTTCGCTAGCCGATAACAATGCTGAAGTATTTTTCTCTGGTCAGTCAGCTCAGGAATAACAATAGATTAACTCTGTGACCCCCCCCCCCCGTTGACAGTGCTGCGCTAGCGACTAGGCCCTAGTCCTTCCACTCAGTTGTATCTTTGTAATTTATCTAAATCCTAGAAATCAATTACTCCGCTGTAGGGGCCAGGGTGAGGGATTGGAGTTTTAATGTTCTCCTTACTCCCGGGGTATCGGCACACGCCTCTCCTGGCATTGAGGCTTTTGGATTAAGCAAGGTTGACAATTTCACAACTTAACATATCTTGGGTATTAGCGGTCGCACGTTACTACTACATGATTAGTTATATTTTGTGCATTAAACTGACAGTGGCTGAAATTCCTCCATGTTCTCTTTTCAGACTTCATCAATGTCCTCATGTCCTCTGTGCCCAGTCAAGTGCCCCTTCACAATAATCATTCACTTTGTAAAGTGTGGTCTTATACTGTAAATAGATACAGCAGAGTACTTTCTTTAGAAGGGACTTTCACTAGAACTGTTTGAAAGGACACTTTGATAAGCCATTGGAATAAGCCAATCAAATAATAATCTGATCTAACATTTACTGTGATCCCTGTATAGATCTACTCTATGTCCATCCTGAACACAAACTTGTGACCAATGACCATGCTTTTCTTCATGTGGTTCTACTGTATGTTTGCGATATTGTACTGTATCTGTGACTGAAATTATTTTCAAGGGGATAATTGCTGATAATAATGTCAATTTATTTTATTTTACTTGATATAATCTTTAAGGATGCCTACTGGGCACACACTGGTTGAGTCAACGTTGTTCACAAATCATTTCAATGAAATTACGTTGTACCAACGTGGAATAGACGTCTGTGCCCAGTGGGTAGTTGCTTTTAATGGCAATATTTGTTGACCAAATTAAATTCAGCTTATTTTACTCAATTTAGATGCTGAAGTGTCTGAGGTTGTTGTGATGCCTCCCACCACCCCTACCAAGCACTAAGTTGAACAAATGAAACGTCTGTTAGTTTGTTTACACAGTATTGCTGTTAATAAGAACACTGGGGCAAAGTCAAATAAATATGACTAAGTTGCCTGCGGCAGGCAAGCAATCATAGCCTTTGCTGATGAAGCTATTTATACAGGTTTAGTAATAAATCATTATTTGTCCACTGCTTCTAATGAAAAGTTCCCTCATCAGTTGGCCTCTCCTCTCCATTATAGGGCTCTGCTCTGTCAGTGAGACTCACTCAACCACAGCCACCTCATCTTAGAACTGTCATTTTAATTTCTTCTGAATTTCCCTTTTGAAAATGTGTTTATCTCCATGTTCACTTATAGCAGAGCACTAAGGCTCCATCCATCACAGACATACTGCTGTTTTGTGTCACAGAGTTGATGGCCTAGAAGAAGCAGCAGACATGAACACTGGCTTTTTGACAACTTGCTGTTTCTCTTTGTGTCCATGACAAGAGGAGTCATTTGATAAAGCGTTTATCAAGGACACGCATTACAGTACATTATGTTCCCGTCTTGGACATCAGTCTGTTGCCTTGCTAAGTGTTTGTGTGTATGTCCGGGCATGCGTGTGTGTGTGTGTGTACAACTCACAAGAAACTGTACAAGATAGAAAACATCCCACTGACAGGGGGACAAACTTCATCATGAATGAACATACAGTGAGCTACAGCATTTTGTCCCAGCAGATACATTACTGTAGGCTCTACTACCATGGTATTTGTGCTATTACCACAAAATGACTATATTTTCAGAAGGAATAAGTGTTGTCCTATAATCAGGCTTTCTATGTTGACTCAAAATATCTACTTTCCACCTTTTTCTGACAACCAATTTTCAAGATAGCATCTACATTTTTAATAGCCGGGCATCGGCACACATTTCAGCAAATAATCGCCTTTTTCAAATAAATGCCGGGTCTAAATGAGTTGTTTACGAGTGAACTTCAGTGAATAATGTAAAGATTGCGTAAAAGAAGATAGAGGAGAGCAACATCATTTCCATAGATGAGACAGCAGTGTGTTTTGACATGGTTGGCTCAACTACGGGGGATACAAGACACAACGAGTGAGAGAATGGTGCTGAAGCGCGAAGTCGTTGTTGTCCTAGTCTTTGCAAGTCTGATCTGCGATGGATTTGTTAATATAATGTTTATACTGGTCATACTGGTCACATTAAACAGTGTGGTAGTCTTTTCAACATTTTATTGAGCAAAAGCTGTGTGCATTAAGGAAAGAGACACCTGGCTCAAATAGAAGCCTGTCTCTAATAAGCGCTGGTTGTGTTCAGTGATTGAAGCAAATAAACACCCGGGCTATTAATGGAAGTTTTGCGGTACATAAATAAAAACTGTAAAAATATTACTTTGAGCACAGTAGCAGTTTTAGTTAATTTAATGGAAATCGTTATGTAGCCTGATCAGTTTAGATGACTTCTGCCTTACTGAACCATACCAGCATGCTGAGTGTCTCAGTTTCTCACTGTGCTCACGTCTTTAGTAGGGCCGGGACGATACCAGTATCGGGATACTCGTTAGTATCGTGACAAGGAAACAAAACACGAAGCAGAATTGACTTCCTTAGGAAAACAGCCCTAATGTTGGAAACAAACATCATAATGTTGTCATCCAGAGTCACATGTATTTACTTTCCAAACTATAGCACACAGTATTTTACATACAGCAGGTTTTTAAAGGACCAAATAGTTGATCTGCTTCGTGTTTACATTTTTGCCATGGAAAAAAGATTGCGATACTGGTATCGTCCCAGGCCTAGGAGCAGTTGCTGCTAACATGCTGCTGCCGCCTCGCAGTCTGATGACTTGGCCAGGCTGACCAGGGAATTTAGTGAGGTGATAAGACCGTGTCTGGGCTGGGCTCATTGGTCTCTGAACACTGTGTTGTTATCTCTGCATAAAGATAGCTCTGGAATGTATAAGCTCTCCAGCTCCAGTCAACTCTGTCACTGAGGAGGCCAGAGAGTGGTAGTAGGGCATGAATTCAGCTAGCTCTATGTTCTGTAGGAGCATAGGCCTCATGGGAGCAGACCACATAACCTCTCTCTCTCTGCTCTCAATGCCTGCTCTAAAGACATGTTACCCCTTGACCAATAAGAGGAGGCTCAGCAGAGCATGACCGTACCACACAGGGAGGGGAAAAGAGAGAATGTTATGAGAGAAGGATGAGGGAGTGACTGAGTGGGGGTAGAGTGTGATGGAGAGAGCTAAAACCATAGAGTGACTCACTAACGTGAGAGTGGAGGGAAATGAGAGAAGAGGGAACATTTGTCATTGTATGTGCCAATTGAAGCCCCGTGCAAGAGGGGAAGGTCATGCGTCGGTCACATTCCGGTCTGTGCTAAACTGAAGTGGACTTGGAAGAAAAGACTCAGTGGCGTTGCTTAGTTAGAGGAAGTCTCCTCCTGAGCACTCCCACACCACTACACTTTTTTCCACAGAACCTCCTTTCAGCTCCACTTGTGAGACGGGTCATGGTTGAGCTGGCTGCCTGGGAACAGTGGCAGTCATTATGGGATCAGGACAGGAGACGTGGTGTGGTGTGGTGTGGTGGAGAAAGAGTCAACAGAGAGAGTTAACACAATAGCAGAGACTTGGCGAGCAATAATGCTCTGACAGCCTCCATGAGCCTGTCATATGAAGGCTAAAATGATATGATGACAATGCATTTTCAAGTGCCTGGCGTCTAGGTACAGCGCTCTAGTTACTACAGTAATAATGTGCTAACATGGAAATGTGGTTTTAGCTTGGCCTTTTCCAAGTCAACCACTCTTGATAAGAAAAGGTGAGTCAGAGATTTGTTATCATGGTTAAACGTGTACATGTACATCCAGTGGCTTTGTTCAGGTGCTGAATGTTGAAAGTATGAATGTTTATTTGCAATATAAAATAATCCAGACACCTCAAATGTTCTTTGTGACAAATGTCACCTTCAAGGTCAAAGCCGTTTCAGTTTGGGAGCTACACACATGCACGCAAACACACACACACACACACAAAGGCTCTATTGTAGTCACATATTTACTCCATAATGTACAGTTGTGTACCATGAAATATCTCTGCTAGGCATCTGAAGTGCGTCATGTTACTTCACTAAATCCTGAAGGCCTAAAGGCAAATGGCAGCTCAAATTCCTTTTGCACTTGAAAATCTGATGAAAGTATCTTTGGCGCATAATGCTCCCTTTATTTTTTATTTATAACCATTGTTATCCCACAATGTGCTTGTTTTGCAGGAATAAAGGCTGAACTGTGTCCTCTTACCTATACTTTGATGCAAATCAGCTACGGTAACTGTGTTCGTAACTGTATAAATCAGGAAATAGACAATAAGGAAAGCACATTGTCAGTGAGCACATATTGTGCAGTTGATATTGACTATAGTGCAGAGGCATGTTGAAGTTTCACACGTCCTCGAAGAGAGATTGTGAGAGCTCAGTAACAGTACTAATCGATAATCAAGCCAGCAAATTGTTTTGTTATTTGCTGTTAAATTGATTTACCATGATTTCTTTCAAAGACATTCATGAAGGGATGGCGGTTAGAGCATTGAGCCAGTAACCGAAAGGTCGCTATTTCGAATACCCGAACCGACAAGGTGAAAAATCTGTTGATTTGCCCTTGAGCAAGGCACTTAAGCCTAATTTGCTCCAGGGGCACCGTACTACTATGACTGACCCTGTAAAACAACACAAAACAACACATTTCGCTGCACCTATCTGGTGAATGTGACAATAAAACATATTTGTTTCATCCCAGGAAATGAGAGGGGTAATTATGCCTAATGAATGCCCCTAATGACATTATACAGTATTACCTCTCTTTTTCTCAGTCATCCATCCTGTCTCAGTGCCTATGGTATGGTACCTTTTGTTTCGTTTTTACAATTGCTGTACCAAAATATCCATCACAACTACATCTCCTCCTGGCACTCCTGTCACAAGACAGCGTGGTTTTATGAAATGGTGCAACCATGACCCTGATACCATAGTGAGAGAATGATTCAGATTTGACATTACATTGGTTTCAAATGACTACACTGCATCCATGGTGTGTCATTACAGCATCTGCAGTAATTATTATTCCACAGAGTCACACTGGCCACAAACCACCATTAGAATAGAGACACCCTCAGAAGTGACGATGAAGGAGGAGCAAAGACCATGGCTGCTGTTGTTGTTGACGGTGCTGCTAGGGCTAGCTGGATTAGTTTACTCAAATCAGCACTGATGAGGGGACAGTTTTCAATTAATCTCTGACTAGGAGACGTCATTCATTATCACATAGCTCTGCTATGCCCTCGTTGTGTGCTGTCCCAGACCAGCTTGTTTTTTTGACCTTGCATGGTTTCAGTGATCAGTCTCTGTTAGTTTTATCGCTTTTTCCTCCTCTTTTATCTTTTTCCAAGGCCAGTTCAGCTCTGCTGTAGGTGAGTGGATTAAAGAATAAAGAGAGAAGTACCCCAAGCGGGTTGCATTCATGTCAATACTTTCCACTGCCTTTGAATATCCCCTTTTAATAGGAAAATAAGACTGCTGAACAACATCCCACAATTTTCGAACTAGGCGGATATTAATTTAATATATTTTATGCTGATCTGTTCATCCCCTCTGAGTCCAGTGTTTCCCCTATATTCACTTAGAAGCAGTGGCCCACCGCTGCTAAATTGTTGCCACCGCTGCAAAACAAAAATAATGTTTTTTAAATATATACAGTACCAGTCAAAAGTTTGGACACACCTACTCATTCAAGGGTCTTTATTTATTTTTACTATTTTCTACATTGTAGAATAAAAGTAAAGACATCAAAACTATGAAATAACACATATGGCATCATGTAGTAACCAAAAACGTGTTAAACAAATCAAAATAGATTTGAGATTCTTCAAAGTAGCCACCCTTTGCCTTGATGACAGCTTTGCACACTCTTGGCATTCTGTCAACCAGCTTCATGAGGTAGTCACCTGGAATGCATTTTCTTGAGGAGAACCTTGGGAGCCACCAGCATGACCTCAGTTTTATTGCTGTTGAGTCTGAGTAGATTGGGTGTCATCCAGTTTTTGATGTCCTGGAGACAGTTGATCAGAGACGGGGGTGAGAGGTGGGTTTGGTGTGGATGTAAATCTGGGTTTCATCCGCATAGCAGTGGATTGAGTTGAACCTGATGTTTTTGTACTGTTAGAGATTGTAGATGTGACAATGATGTATTTCTCTTTGTCCACTCTCTATTCCAGGGCCCTGGTATATCAGAGGAGGCGATGGTCACTGAGCCTCCTCACTCGCAGCAGCCCGGGGCACGCCACAGCTTTGTACAGGAACACTTCCAGGCACAATACAAGTGAGTTTCCTCCCCTACACACCACCTGACCCTGACCTAAACCACCTGCTAGGTATCATAGGCCCTATTTACCGGTAGAGCTGGATATATAAATGGACAGTTTGCCTGGTCTGCCCATAGCATACTGTATTCTCAATGCAATGCTAGAGAATAGCCCTATTACTATCTGCACCTTAGTCCTGCAAGCATTGATGGCATCTGAGCTGAGCTGAGTAGAATACAGTTGACTCAACCCCAGGCACCTAATGTGGAAAGTCATGGACTTGTGCTAATGTAAAAACTGCTGCCTTGCACCTTGAAGGACAGGTGAAAAATAAACAAATTACTATACAGAGAATTGTCTCTCATATTTGTGTCAGTCTACAATTTCCCTCCGATTCAGAGTCTTGAATGTAAAACAGAAGAGTTACTTTTCTTTATTTTGTTCATTGTGAAATCTTTTTCATGGCTCAACCTGCTCCTTAGATGATAATGCTAGAGAATAATAAATAATTAAAAAGTTTCAAAATGTGACAGCTTTTGGTATTTTATTTCCATTAGGAGCCAGTTGTGTTTTTGTATAACCTGTTCTATTCCTTTCAGTGCACCTGGATGAGGTTGAGAGGGAGTCTGTTATTGAGAGATTGAGTCAGATATAGAACAACTTTGTAGGTTGGCTAAACAAACACGTATTGGGTAAAACTTTGTTGCCCATTCCAATATTAATGCATTTCCTTTAATTATGAACCATATGTTATACAGTTCAATGCAATTATGGTCATTTGTGTGGAAATCGGTTTCATGCTTGTCTTGGTATAAGCTGTTGGTCCATCGGTAACACTGCCTGTAATTTGGTCTATTGGGTTTTGCACCTTTCCTATAAGTTCTTTACAATTATTGTACAACCATTGCAGAGTTAGGTATGGAGGCTTTTTTTCCCACATCACATTCGATTACCGATGACTCATTGATCCAGTTCTCATTGATTGGATTAAATTGTAATGATCAGATACACCATGTGTAATGGAGATGTCGTTATAACTCTATGTGAATAGGGGTTGTATATGTATTAGCAGGAGAAAGAGTAACCTCATTAAATCACTGCAGACATTCCAGTAATTACTGAGCCTAGTTGGAGCATCAATACTGACAAGGCCCATGCACAGCGTGCAGTAAGAAAGACTGCCCCTCCACCTAACCTTTATGTCTCCTAGGTAACTAGGGACCTCTTCAAGTGCTTTTATGGTCCGGAGTAAAATGAGTGGGGGGGGTTGGGTTTTGTTGGAGGTCAAGTGGAAAAACAACAGCTGTACAAAGCTAATAGGCATAGATGACCTACATATTGAATAAAAGTGTACAATCTTTGCTCTAGTAGCTTTCCTTCTAAGCTATGAATGATGAACCTGATTGAGTTTTCACAGTTTTATTCCTTATAACATTCCTTTCAATCAGTGTTCAGAGCCCCTCAGCGCCTGCTACAGCAGAATTGAACCCAGAGCCTTCACAAGTGTTCATTTAATCTTGGAGATAAAGCCTCCTCAGTGTTTCTATGAAACAGATGCATCTCACAGCTGTGGTCGGGAGATCACTGGAGCTGCTGAAGGTAGTGGAGCTGTTGCAGTACCTTCATCATGATTTGGCTGTCCGCCCCTCTCACAGAGGCGCCAAATGAGAGTTCTGAATCCAACTGCCAAGTGTATCTGTAAATCTCTGTCAAGCCCCCAATTTTACATTAGCTGTACTCTTCTCTGGATAACCTTGACAAATGTCGTACTATATTGACAAGGAGTTATGCAAACAACTGCACAATAGAACAGATGTATATTTGGACCTTTTAACTCTGTCGTGAAGTAATTAGAACACTTGCCACTCTGTGGAAGTTGTTATTTTCTTTGTAATTTCCTGCTTGTTTTTGTTTCCTCCATCTGCCAATTCCTTGGAAAATTGGCAGCTTGGTGTTATGCCATTAATACGTCTGTCAGAGCACATCCCTTAATTGCTACCCACTGATGAATGTTTCTGCTTTGACACCTGGGAAATGGGCGTGTCTAGAGAGGAAGCAGCCATAGCTAGCTCACCCACTCAGACACTGTGCCAGACTCAACCAGGAGGATTCAGACTGGAATCCAACACTTGACTGATGATTACTAGCAAACCATAAAACATGCAGTATAACTTCAAAAACAGCATAACTTTGCATTTCTTAGCTACAGCATGGCTTTAGTTCAGTGGAAAAGAGCTCTGGACTGTACAGTAATTTCTCTCAAGGAATATTCCATAGCCATATCTTTCCATAACCTTCTGATTTTGTCCCTTAGGCCAGTCCAGATCACTGACTCAGGCAAGAGCATCATTGTCTGAGATGAGGATTTAGACCTTGGCGTGAAAGTGTAAGACTGAAAAGCCACTGTCAAAGATTTTTTAGAATAATTTGTGAAAGTGTGATTCAGAGTCCTCGTGGTCAGAGAAGTGTCCTGTTTCGAATATAAATATCCTCTTCCTATCTGTGATGTTTGAATTGTAAAATACTGTATGTATCATATGTGATTACCTATTTTTCATACTAAATACTAATATAATACTATTAGTGACATATCATTAATATATTTTTTGTGCTATTTGTTTTAGGAACTGCCTTTGGAGTCCCTATCTTTGATTTGTTAACTGTTCCTCTGTCCCTCTCTCATTGCCCTCCAGCATTTGAGTCCTGGGTGTAACACTATGTAATATAATCCAACTGACAGGCCTGAGTATTATCACTGTAATGGGTATGTTTGTCACTATACAATCACCAGGCCCATTATACTTGACAATACTTAATCTGTGTACAAATAAGCTTCATATAAACTGACAGGCCTTTTAGTTTTTGATGCTGATTTGATTTGTCGTTCATCACGTTGGTGTCATTCAATTGATTGATTATGAAATGTCAGGTACACTCTACAGTACAGTTATTGCAATCCTCTCTGTCTGACTGTGATGTCTCCGTAAAAGTGAAGTGCCTACTCTAACTTTGGAAGTATTGATTTTGAACTATTATTTCTCTACAACTCTGTAGACTGATCAAATCATGCAATGCCCAGTTCGTGAAGGTAAAGCTTTGATATAGCTAGTTTTGTTCTCATCCCACAGCATGACTCACTGCCTGGCATGGGTAAAATGCAGTGAAAATCTCTGTTATCTGTCAAGCGATGCTCATTAGAGTGAAACCAAACGGCGGGCAGCAGAGCATGTCAGATTAAGGACGTGGTGTACTGTAGTTTCACTGGAAGCCCAGCCTTTTCACAGTGGCACGACAACCCACCACTCTCTCTCAGAGCTTCTTGCCTCTCTTTGTCTGAATCGTTTTGACTGGGTGACCTTTGTTTTGTCTCGCCGCTTAATTTATTTATATTTCTGCAGGATAGTTGTATATATAGGGCTGTGAAGCCCTTTTGAGATTATTACTGTGACTCAAGGTAATTCCTTTGTTTTGTCTGGATGCTCAGGATCACCTGCTGAATGATGCCTTACATATCAACAATCTCTAAAGGGGCCATGACCTTTTGAACCCAGAGATGCAGTGTTGTGATAAAAGCACACATCTTCAAGTAGCAGGTGAAGCTGCAGGCTCACTGAGAATAATTAACAGCCAATCTTTAGACCAGGGATCATCAACTAGATTCAGCCGCGGGCCGATTTTTTTAGTGAGTGGATGGTCGGGGGACCGGACCATAATTAAAAATAATTTGTAGACTGCAAATTGACCACCAAAAATAAACTTAGTTCTTGAAATTCTCCGTATTGACTAACCTACATGTCTTAAAGTAATGATGGACTGTTGTTTCTCTTTGCTTATTTGAGCTGTTCTTGCCATAATATGGACTTGGTCTTTTACCAAATAGGGCTATCTTCTGTATACCCCCCCACCTTGTCACAACACAACTGATTTTGCTCAAATGCATTAAGAAGGAAAGAATTTCCACAAATTAACTTTTAAGAAGGCACACCTGTTAATTGAAATGCATTCCAGGTGACTATCTCATGAAGCTGATTGAGAGAATACCAAGAGTGTGCAAAGCTGTCATCAAGGCAAAGGGTGGCTATTTGAAGAATCTGAAATATAAAACATATTTTGATTTGTTTAACACTTTCTGGGTTACTACATGATTCCACTTGTGTTATTTCATCGTTTTGATGTCTTCACTATTATTCTACAATGTAAAAAATAGGAAAAATAAAGAAAAACCCTTGAATGAGTAGGTGTGTCCAAACGTTTGACTGGTAGTGTATATATTTTCTCAGAAAACTTGGGGGGTGAAATAAAACCACCCACAGGCCAAATTCGGCCCGCTGGCCGCCAGTTGGGGAACCCTGCTTTAGACCCTTAACCTTTAGTAGATTGTTCTAATAATTTACATTTACATTTTAGTCATTTAGCAGACGCTCTTATCCAGAGCGACTTACAGTTAGTGAATACATATTTTTTTTATACTGGCCCCCCGTGGGAATCGAACCCACAACCCTGGCGTTGCAAACGCCATGCTCTATCAACTGAGCTACATCCCTGCCGGCCATTCCCTCCCCTACCCTGGACGACGCTGGGCCAATTGTGCGCCGCCCATGAGTCTCCCGGTTGCGGCCGGCTGCGACAGAGCCTGGATTCGAACCAGGATCTCTAGTGGCACAGTTAGCACTGCGATGCAGTGCCTTAGACCACTGCGCCACTCAGGAGTACTAATAATAGCTGTTATAACAAATATAATTTATTTATTTATTTTTCAGGTAAGGTGACACTGAAGTTCCCGATACTTGGAAAAATGGCTTTTAGAGTTCTACTCATTTCAGTTAGAGGTAGGCTAGTGCAGGGGTTGGCAACAACAATTTTTTGTTGTTGAAAAAATAGGATTTTAGATTTTGGTCAAAAAATACTAAAATCACCTGGAAAATAGTTTAATTTAGGAAATCTGTTCCCAAGTATTCCCACAAATAAAAAAGAGACACACTAAGTGCACAAAACATGCTCTTTCCATGACATAGACTGACCAGGTGAATCCACATGAAAAGCTATGATCCCTTATTGATGTCACTGGTTAAATCCACTTCAATCAGTGTAGATGAAGGGGAGGAGACAGGTTAAAGAAGGATTCTTAATTATTTTGTTTTTGTTTTTTACCCCTTTTTTCTCCCCAATTTCATGATATCCAATTGCGATCCAATTACGATCTTGTCTAATCGCTGCAACTCCCCAACGGGCTCGGGAGAGGCGAAGGTTTAGTAATGTGTCCTCCGAAACATGACCCGCCAAAACGCGCTTCTTAACGCCCGCCCGCTTAACCCGGAAGCCAGCCGCACCAATGTGTCGGAGGAAACACTGTTCAACTGACGACCGAAGTCAGCCTGCAGGCGCCCGGCCCGCCACAAGGAGTCGCTAGAGCACGATGAGCCAAGTAAAGCCCCCCCGACCAAACCCTCCCCTAACACGGACGACGCTGGCCCAATTGTGCACCGCCCTATGGGACTCCCAGTCACGGCCGGTTGTGACACAGCCTGGGATCGAACCCAGGTCTGTAGTGACGCCTCAAGCACTGCGATGCAGTACCTTAGACCGCTGCACCACTCAGGAGGCCTAAAGAAGGATTTTTAAGCCTTGAGACAATTGAGACATGGATTGTGTATGTGTGCCATTCAGAGGGTGAATGGGCAAGACAAAATATTGAAGTGCCTTTGAACGGGGTATGGTAGTAGGTGCCAGGCGCACCGGTTTGTCGAGAACTGCCACGCTGCTGGATTTTTTACCTTCAACAGTTTCCCGTGTGTATCAAGAATTGTCCACCACCCAAAGGACATCCAGCCAACTTGACACAACTGTGGGAAGCATTGGAGTCAACATGGGCCAGCACCCCTGTGGAATGCTTTCAACTCCTTGCAGAGTCCGTGCCCCGACGAATTGAGGTTGTTCTGAGGGCAAAGGGGTGTTTTGTACAATCGGTGTATGTGATGGTGTCTCAATGTAATTAAGGTATGAAATGATTGTTATTTTCAAATATAATCTTTTTGGGGGCTTAGTTGTGGTCAATTTGCAGTGTACAAATTATTATAATGATGTTCCGGCCCCCGACCATCCGCTCCGTCAAAAATCGTCCCGCAGCTGAATCTAGTTGCCTACCGCTGGGCTAATGTTTAAGCTGACTCAAACTCTCACCCTTCAGCATCACTGCTTCAAAGACAGGGATTCCCTCTCAAGTGCTGCTCACACTTCATCCATTAGGCATCACGGGAATATCACCTCCTTTTCCTTTAGGCCTAAGTGTTCCTTACCATGCACAGGACATCTATTTTTTTAGTGTTATTTGTATGCAAGGAACATGGGCAGCTCCTCTGTTTCCTGTTGAGAATAAGACATCCGTAGGGGAGTGATCCACTCTACCAAGAGAGAGCTCCACTCAGAGCCAGTGTCAGCTGGGTTGAGTTGAATAGGGCTTTATTCACTCTCCCCCTCTCCCCTCTGTGGGTCTGGCAGGTGCCTTCCTAGAAGGGAAACACATTTAAACAGCTCTGCTCTGGCTAAGTTTTCCATGGTAGGCTACCGCTTGTAAAGGTTCCCGACATGCAGGCTGGAAAAGTGAAAGCTCTGTGCACTGATCCAATGAAAAAGACTAAAGCAAAGGAATAGGGAAATACTGGCTTAAAACATCTCATTGCTGGGTAAAAGTGGGAAGAGGGAAATGTATGCTTGAAATTCAGATTTGCAAAGAAACCATAGCTTTGTCAACTGGTTTTGATTGTATGCAGCAAAGCCATTGTTGAACTACACTGCTCAAAAAAATAAAGGGAACACTTAAACAACACATCCTAGATCTGAATGAATGAAATAATCTTATTAAATACTTTTTTCTTTACATAGTTGAATGTGCTGACAACAAAATTACACAAAAATGATCAATGGAAATCAAATGTATCAACCCATGGAGGTCTGGATTTGGAGTCACCCTCAAAATTAAAGTGGAAAACCACACTACAGGCTGATCCAACTTTGATGTAATGTCCTTAAAACAAGACAAAATGAGGCTCAGTAGTGTGTGTGGCCTCCACGTGCCTGTATGACCTCCCTACAACGCCTGGGCATGCTCCTGATGAGGTGGCGGATGGTCTCCTGAGGGATCTCCTCCCAGACCTGGACTAAAGCATCCGCCAACTCCTGGACAGTCTGTGGTGCAACGTGGCGTTGGTGGATGGAGCGAGACATGATGTCCCAGATGTGCTCAATTGGATTCAGCTCTGGGGAACGGGCGGACCAGTCCATAGCATCAATGCCTTCCTCTTGCAGGAACTGCTGACACACTCCAGCCACATGAGGTCTAGCATTGTCTTGCATTAGGAGGAACCCAGGGCCAACCGCACCAGCATATGGTCTCACAAGGGGTCTGAGGATCTCATCTCGGTACCTAATGGCAGTCAGGCTACCTCTGGCGAGCACATGGAGGGCTGTGCGGCCCCCCAAAGAAATGCCACCCCACACCATGACTGACCCACCGCCAAACCGGTCATGCTGGAGGATGTTGCAGGCAGCAGAACATTCTCCACAGCGTCTCCAGACTCTGTCACATCTGTCACATGTGCTCAGTGTGAACCTGCTTTCATCTGTGAAGAGCACAGGGCGCCAGTGGCGAATTTGCCAATCTTGGTGTTCTCTGGCAAATGCCAAACGTCCTGCACGGTGTTGGGCTGTAAGCACAACCCCCACCTGTGGACGTCGGGCCCTCATACCACCCTCATGGAGTCTGTTTCTGACCGTTTGAGCAGACACATGCACATTTGTGGCCTGCTGGAGGTCATTTTGCAGGGCTCTGGCAGTGCTCCTCCTGCTCCTCCTTGCACAAAGGCGGAGGTAGCAGTCCTGCTGCTGGGTTGTTGCCCTCCTACGGCCTCCTCCACGTCTCCTGATGTACTGGCCTGTCTCCTGGTAGCGCCTCCATGCTCTGGACACTACGCTGACAGACACAGCAAACCTTCTTGCCACAGCTCGCATTGATGTGCCATCCTGGATGAGCTGCACTACCTGAGCCACTTGTGTGGGTTGTAGACTCCGTCTCATGCTACCACTAGAGTGAAAGCACCGCCAGCATTCAAAAGTGACCAAAACATCAGCCAGGAAGCATAGGAACTGAGAAGTGGTCTGTGGTCACCACCTGCAGAACCACTTCTTTATTGGGGGTGTCCTGCTAATTGCCTATAATTTCCACCTGTTGTCTATTCCATTTGCACAACAGCAAGTGACATTTATTGTCAATCAGTGTTGCTTCCTAAGTGGACAGTTTGATTTCACAGAAGTGTGATTGACTTGGAGTTACATTGTGTTGTTTAAGTGTTCCCTTAATTTTTTTGAGCAGTGTACATTCCTCTCCAGTCCTAAAGGCTCTTATAGTTTCAGGCATCCTTGTGAAATGCTTTTCGCTTCCTGATTAGAAGAACCAGTCATGGAGTTCTTGCCATAGAGCTATTACAGGATTTAGAAGTACTTCAAGTCAAGTTCAATTCAAGTGAAGTTCAAGAGCACTGCAGTCTGAGGACTTCCATGGAAATGCCCTCTGAGTCTTTGTTCAAACAATTAGTGATTTGCCAGAATAAGCAACTTCCTCTCCTAAACATAAAGGGGTCTGTTGGAACCAGTGTGTGAACCAGGTGTGGAATGGAAGATTGGTAGAATGGAAGATTTGCTATATTTTCCTGTCCTTTTGTAAGAGTCCTATGGCCTGAACATTCATATAGGGAGGAAGCAAGCCATCTCTTAGGGCTGTCCTCTATTCTCCCCATTATGGTATTAGTGATCATTAGGGAATTGCTGCGTGCTGGTTCCCATGTAAAGGACCAGTTGCACCGTGAGGCTTTTCCCCACTACCCACCCCACTTACATCACTTATCTTTCCCATGTAAAATCTCTACAGCAACATCAAGATGTACTGTACATACAGTGTGTCCATTTTTATAGCAAGATGCACTTTCCTGCTGGCCTGAAACAGAAGTGCATGTTCAGGTGTCTAAAACAGGCGTCAAACATCACACAATCTTGTTTTTCTTTCCACAGGTCATCGCTGACCTGCCCTCATTGTCATAAACAGAGCAACACATTTGATCCTTTCCTCTGCATCTCACTTCCCATCCCTCTCTGCCACACCAGGTAAGTACTATCCCTGTTAGTGCACCAACCATACAGAATACACAACCATGCAACACATCACACCACACCATGGTACTACGTGCAGCTATTTTGAGACATCCGTCAGTGAGAGTCAAAGCCGTAGTAGACGGAAAGACTTGCCCTTAGGTACAGATGTAGAAATACAGTGTAGACAAGACTCAAGCACTGGTGTCTTTTTAACATCCCTTTCAGTCCTCTAGAGGCTCATAATGTTAGAGAGATGGATAAAGATCTGGAGTAGCACAGAGGAACAATAAACCTAGCTGAGATGGAGTGGACTTGAAGCCCATAGGAAAGCCCTGAGGAGCACCACCTCAGAAACCAGGAACAATGTCACATTCACGCCCAGGTCACAAAGATCACTCCATCCCTGCTTGGCTGCGGTTAGCCTGTTCAGGAAATCAATTTTGAAGGATTTAGTCCCCCGTCCCCCCCCCCCAAGCCCTTACTCTACAAGCACCTACACCCTCTCATTAATTTAGCTCTTTGTGAAGACTTTTGACAACCTAGTTTTTTGTTAAAAGCATGAGTTAATGTTTCCTTTCACACACCACCTGACCAACCCTAAGTCAAAACAGTATGAAGGAGAAAGGTTCTCATCTTTATTCTCCAGTGCAGATGGAGGAGTTGTCCTAATTAGAGAAGATGATTTAGAGTCCGGCGATGAGCTTAACACTCATCTCAGATTCCTGGGCTGGGGTGTCATAGATAGTGTCTTCCCACACTCCCATTGAGGTACCAGGGTGTGCCTAGCAAATTCAACAGCCCAACACACACTCATCTGTCCAATCCTACACCACAACTGGACACTACAATGTTGATCTCATACAGTAGATCCTCATTCATACTGAGCATCCAACGTAAAGATATAATCCATTGTTGCTACATGAATTTGAGAGTGGTTACATATTTCCAGCCCCATCCCTTAGCTTTTTAGCGATACAGGAGCGGGGATAACGCTTTGTTATTGTTTCAATTAAGGATTCTAGCTTTAACAGGTATTCTTTAGAGCTCTCTATTTGTGACACATACAGTCATTGAAATAGTGCTCAGTCTCTTTGGAGCAACTAGTGTCAATAAAAGTTAACGCCAGGCAGAACACCCTCATAGGGTAATCTTTTCCCCTTAATCATATCACAATCAACTTTTACCAGTTGAATGTAGACACAAATATAATACTTTTTTGTATTAAAATATTTCTGAAATATTTTATAAAAATATGCAAATGAGGGAATTTTCATTAATATGCACATATTTGCATATCACGCAAATAAAATGTTCTGGACACTGGATGAAGTCAGCTTAAATGTTTTGGTTTCATTTTATTAAGACACTCCAGGACCAGACTTGTCCATAGCAGATTGTGGATAAATACCTTTCTATCTGTAAAATACTAAAGACATGTACGTAGAATGCATTTTTGGCGCCCAAAAATGTTTTCTCTAGAATAAAAACTTGACAACACATGTGTGGGAAGAGTCTGACTTTCGGGAAATGGCAGTTAAAGACAAGTACACTGAATTTAGACTACCAAACGCCTATTTAGACCCAATCATCATCTCTTCAAAGTAAGTTACTAAATATAGTTAATTTTGTAACACTCTCTATGAAATGGGCTTCTAAATTATGTGTAATTTAATGTTGTGAGCTTTGAAATTATTCAAGTGGTTAAAATGCATTAAAATGTTGATGACGGTAGAATGATAAACTAAAGAAAATATAAATAAGTACATAAGTATTCAGACCCTTTGCTATGAGACTCGAAATTGAGCTGAGGTGCATCCTGTTTCCATTGATCATCCTTCAGATGTTTCTACACACTACCATTCAAAGGTTTGGGGTCACTAAGAAATGTCTTTGTTTTCGAAAGAAAAGCTTTTTTTTTTCCCCATTAAAATAACATCAAATTGATCAGAAATACAGTGTAGACATTGTTAATGTTGTAAATGGCTATTGTAGCTGGAAACAGCAGATTTTTAATGGAATATCTACATAGGCGTACAGAGGCCCATTATCAGCAACCATCAGTCCTGTGTTCCAATGGCACGTTGTGTTTGCTAATCCAAGTTTATGATTTTAAAAGGCTAATTGATCATTAGAAAACCCTTTTGTAATTATGTTAGCACAGCTGAAAACTGTTGTGCTGATTAAAGAAGCAATAAAACTGGCCTTCTTGAGACTAGTTGAGTATCTGGAGCATCAGCAATTGTGGGTTCGATTACAGGCTCAAAATGGCCAGAAACAAATAACTTAATTCTGAAACTCGTCAGTCTATTCTTGTTCTGAGAAATGAAGGCTATTCCATGCGAGAAATTGCCAAGAAACTGAAGATCTCGTACAACGCTGTGTACTACTCCCTTCACAGAACAGCGCAACTCTGCCTAGAAGGTCAGCATTCCGGAGTCGCCTCTTCACTGTTGATGTTGAGACTGGTGTTTTGCGGGTACTATTTAATGAAGCTGCTAGTTGAGGACCTGTGAGGCGCCTGTTGCTGAAACTAGACACTAATGTATTTGTCCTCTTGCTCAGTTGTGCACCGGGGCCTCCCACTCCTCTTTCTATTTTGGTTAGAGCCAGTTTGCGCTGTTCTTTGAAGGGAGTAGTACTTTTAGCTAATGGCATTGAATACTGTAGACAGTTATGAAAGGAAGAAACAGATGGTTTGCCTTTTAAGATTTTGTACATGGCTGCCCATGTAAGACAAAAGGTAGAATCTACAAAACTATCTCCATAAACCCTAACACAAACTAAAGTGCAGACAGAAATGTGTTCCCACATGTCATATATACAGTATGTGGTTAGTTATGATCTAGTGTGTTAACCAATGTGGCAGAGTCTACAAAGTTATGACATGGACCCATATTGATGTTGTACCCTAATGGACTGAGTGGTATGGCAGGCGTCTCCATTTAAACACATTAACTTCACTAAATGAGCTACTCATTACAGATCAGAATGTTATTACTATGAAGATCCTTCAGAGATCTTGTTGTATAATGTTCCTGTCCTCCTGAGGAAAAGGTTTGCGATTCATTATGATGATTGATTCAGCTTTGTACTCAGAGTCGGGAGAGCTAAACCTCTAAAAGGTGTTCTCGGGATGTAGCCACTGCATTTGCAGTAGCTTAGTATAATCATAGACTCAGATTACCATTCGATTGAGGGCTTTAGTTGAGTATTCAGTCACTGGGAATCCCATAATAGGTATTGGGTGCATCATGTAATGTTATAGATTGTTAATTATCCCTATGCCTGCCTTTCTAGTTCTGAGCTGTTGAGTGTGTGAGGATGTTTTGCCGCTCCCAGAATGGTTCCAAACAAGGTAATTAGTATGAATTAGGAACGCTTGCCTGCTCAGAGAACCATTGATTAACTACTGCCTTCACTGTTTGTCTTGAGAACCGTGATAATATGAGGCACTGTTTTGATGTTCCTACTGCCTAGTCAAAGGCAGATAAAGGAATGGACTCTGTACACAGGTGCGCTGCGTCTGTGCGTATAGATGTGCACAGACTGCATGACCGCTTCATACCCCTTACTATGGCAAATGCTGAGAATCCTTGACGGTCAGTGTAGAGGTTACCCTGAGTCCAGATAGCAGCGGATCTCACAGCTCAACACCCTTTACTTACTTAAGTGATAATGCCCGAGAAGCCAGTGTTTGGAGTGTTGTTAGGCCCGAGACAAAGTCAAGGGCCAGCAAACCGTGTCAATATACCCTCCAAACACCAGCTTCGAGGGCATTATCACTTTTATACAACGGGTTACCAACATATTCAAATAATGATTGACATATTTTCATTAAAAATGTTATTTTGATTAATTTATTCATTCTATTTCATCCTTCCACAAGATATAGTCCCGACGCAAATATAGGGTTGCTACCTAAGCCGGCTGGTCGTTCTATCGGTTCGGTTGCCAGAGACACGACCCAGTCGTTCAGTCTTTTTGTTCTATATCTATGGATGCGACCCAGTCGTTTGTTCTAAATATTCCATTGCCATATTGGTTGGCAACGTTCTTCTCCCTTGCTTGCTAGCTAGCCAACTACGGCTAACTTACAGTCACGTTAAACAGTGCAGCCAGAATAACAACAAAGGAGCTGCATTTGCATTTGTTTAAGCTGTTTTCTACTGACATTTATTTGGATACATCCATAAGAATGAGCTAATGATGTGCGATTTCACCTGGCATAGAACATGTGCTAACACAATCACTTCAAACTGAAGCTGGAAAGACTTCAAACTAGCTGCACTTGTTTTCGATTGATAGTTCATATATACACTGCTCAAAAAAATAAAGAGAACACTAAAATAACACATCCTTGATCTGAATGAATGAAATAATCTTATTAAATACTTTTTTCTTTACATAGTTGAATGTGCTGACAACAAAATCACACAAAAAATGATAAATGGAAATCAAATTTATCAACCCATGGAGGTCTGTGGAAAACCACACTACAGGCTGATCCAACTTTGATGTAATGTCCTTAAAACAAGTCAAAATGAGGCTCAGTAGTGTGTGTGGCCTCCACTTGCCTGTATGACCTCCCTACAACACCTGGGCATGCTCCTGATGAGGTGGCGGATGGTCTCCTGAGGGATCTCCTCCCAGACCTGGACTAAAGCATCCGCCAACTCCTGGACAGTCTGTGGTGCGACGTGGCGTTGGTGGATGGAGCGAGACATGATGTCCCAGATGTGCTCAATTGGATTCAGGTCTGGGGAACGGGCGGGCCAGTCCATAGCATCAATGCCTTCCTCTTGCAGGAACTGCTGACACACTACAGCCACATGAGGTCTAGCATTGTCTTGCATTAGGGGGAACCCAGGGCCAACCGCACCAGCATATGGTCTCACAAGGGGTCTGAGGATCTCATCTCGGTACCTAATGGCAGTCAGGCTACCTCTGGCGAGCACATGGAGGGCTGTGCGGCCCCCCAAAGAAATGCCACCCCACACCATGACTGACCCACGCCAAACCGGTCATGCTGGAGGATGTTGCAAGCAGCAGAACGTTCTCCACGGCGTCTCCAGACTCTGTCACGTCTGTCACATGTGCTCAGTGTGAACCTGCTTTCATCTGTGAAGAGCACAGGGCGCCAGTGGCGAATTTGCCAATCTTGGTGTTCTCTGGCAAATGCCAAACGTTCTGCACGGTGTTGGGCTGTAAGCACAACCCCCACCTGTGGACGTCGGGCCCTCATGCCACCCTCATGGAGTCTGTTTCTGACCGTTTGAGCAGACACATGCACATTTGTGGCCTGCTGGAGGTCATTTTGCAGGGCTCTAGCAGTGCTCCTCCTGCTCCTCCTTGCACACTACCTGAGCCACTTGTGTGGGTTGTAGACTCCATCTCATGCTACCACTAGAGTGAAAGCACCGCCAGCATTCAAAAGTGACCAAAACATCAGCCAGGAAGCATAGGAACTGAGAAGTGGTCTGTGGTCACCACCTGCAAAACCAGTCCTTTATTGGGGGTGTCTTGCTAATTGCCTATAATTTCCACCTGTTGTCTATTCCATTTGCACAACAGCATGTGAAATGTATTGTCAATCAGTGTTGCTTCCTAAGTGGACAGTTTGATTTCACAGAAGTGTGATTGACTTGGAGTTACATTATGTTGTTTAAGTGTTCCCTTTATTTTTTTGAGCAGTGTACATATATACACATACATATACATTTCCTTTTTAAAAATATATTTCCCTTTATTACTTTCCAACCCCACCACACTTCCCTAATTGGAGTAAACTAGTGAACAACAATGCTTAGGCCTCTACTTCCAGCTTATACATACGATATACATTTTATGGACACAGTCAATTTTACAATAATTCTATTTTGTTTGTTTTTACTCCTGAACTTCCTCTACCCTCAACCTCTCCGATCATTTTCATGATGTCCATCCGGTTTGCTTTTATATGCCATATCTTTCTAACTGTGCTCTTTCACAAAAGCTCTCAACCTATAACCTATATACTTATTATGGACACAGTATGCTTACATTATTAGTTATCTTGTTGTTATTAGTTGTTATTAGTCCCATCCTTCAACTCCATTCAACACCACCCATCTATCGCTTAACACCATCCATATTGGATTTCTATTTGCCATATATTTTTCAACTGTACTGTGATGTTTTACAAAAGTTCTGAACCTTTCTATTCTCATTGTTTCTACAGATTGTAAATTGAAAATATTATTTTTTGCTAAAAGTATTATTATATTATTGATCGATTGACTATTACTTTTCAGATCACCCAGTAATGCTATCTGCAGGGTTAGCTCCAGGTAAATATTGCAATGCTTTAGCCATTCCTGGACCTGTGTCCAAAAACAAGCTACAAATGGACAGTACTAAAACAAATGATCGAATGATTCTGTCTCTTCGCAGCAAAATCTGTAGAGCTGGGAAGATTGTATCCCCCATATAAATAACATTCTATTGGTAGCAATAATTGTATATAATAATTTTTGAATCCGGCGTCGTTTTGCGTATTAGTTCATAAACACTTTGCCATGGGATCGGTACGTCAAAAATCTCTTCCCAACTATTTTGCAATCTATATGGGATGGCTGTCAATCCTTTGGTCCTTAAATGAAACTGGTATACTTTTTTATTTATCACAGTTTTTTTAACCTATTATGTTCTTTAATGCAAGCCGACAGACAAGTTCCTTACATTTTCCCCCTTCCACTTTCCTCTTCCATTTTTGCGGTAATGCTGCAATTATTTGGTTGTAATTTTGGGTAGAGCAGACATTTCCATATGTTTTTGTTAGCTGCATGTGCAACAACTCCACCAGTCCTACCGATGATATCATTTACGAAGATTATACCTTTTTTAAACAAAATGTTTGTCTTAAAGAAATGTGAGATAATGTCTAGATACTTTTTATAGTGGAGATCAAGTTTATAAATTGCCTGGCTGGGCTGATGAGACAGTGGATTGTGCAGTCAGATGGAACAGAGTAAATAGTCATTTTAAAGTCATAGATTTAGCCGGTGGTAACTTGTGGAATAGACACCGGCTGGAATGCGGTTTTAACCAATCAGGATTAGACCCAACCATTATATAATACTATATATCCCCCACTGCTGTGTGTCCTCTGTCCCCATGTGTGATAATGCCTGTGTGCTGGCAGTGGCATCGCTCACTATCTTTATCATGTTAAACCTTCTCCATGGTGGATTATAGAGCAGGTCAGCAACAAGACATCACAAAACTCACTTTACCCAGTGGTCTCAGTCTACCACTAGGGTATGGTTTCTTTCAACTTTTTTTTTGTATTATATTTTACCAGGTTAGTCTCATTGAGATAAAAAAAATATATTTTGCAAGAGAGACCTGGCCAAAAAGCAGCACAGAAAGTTTCAAACATTTACAACAAAAAACACAAAACACTACTGTTTAAAACATCAGTTTACACATTGAACAGGCACATTTGTTTTGGGAGGAGTGGTTCAACTAGGGGTCGACATTGACAGCCCCCTAAAGCATTTTACACCATAACCTTTACCCTAGCTTTAAAATCATTTAAGGAGAAAAGCACCTGAAGTTTCATGTCCTTTTGTAGCTTGTTCCAAGTAGAGGGGACAGAGTACTGGAACGCTTTTTAACCTAGCTCTGTACGGGCCTTAGGCACCGCCAAGGAGATACAGTCCTGCGAGCGTAGGTGATAATTGTCCTTAGTCTGCTGGACAATGTAGGTACACAGGTAAAATGGGAGCGGTCTCAGTATGGCCTTGTAAATAACAACATACCAATGACTTAGTCTCTGAAGAGCTAAGGAAGGCCATCCCAATCTGGTATAGAGGGTACAATGATGGGTGAAAGCATTGGAGTTTGTAACAAACTTCAGCGCCCCATGGTACACAGTGTCCAGCATATGTAATGACGCCACAGGGGCAAACATTTACAACGTATCACCATAGTCGATTACAGGCAAAAAGGTAGTGGAAACGACTCTCTTTCTCGCATCAAAATAAAAACATTGAGCCTGAGCTTTTTCACAAGACCATCAATATGAGTTGTATTTATGTAAGCATGGACTATCCACTGTAAGGAGAAAACAGTCTTGACCAGCTTTATGCCTCATTAGTGTCTGTAGAATAGAGGTACTATACACTCGGGGCCTCCCGCCTATGTCATTTTGTCATTGGCTCCCATATCTCTCTTTCTCAGAGGAGGAGGCTGACTTTCTGAGTGGTGTGTCCACTCGGCTGACTACAGTCTTCACATAGACACTCACAGGTGAATCACAGGGCACATATCTCTTCAGTGTAGTGTTTTTGGACAAGCCATTATGTCCCTTTACCCTGCCTATGTCAGCACTGCCTCTCCTTGCATACGGAGCCAGAGAGGTCAGAGCCAAGTGCTCAGCTTTAAAAATGCATCGGCCCACAATACAGATTCCATTATTTCTTACACATAAAAAAACAGTCCTAATGATCTATTATTAATGCTAAAATGTATTGATTAATTCATGAAAACTATATGTCCCTTCCTGGTCATGGACTGTAATAAAAATGGTAGAGATTTCAATGCAGCGGCTTCTCTCTCTCAACAGGCCTCTGTGTGTAATTCTGGTCTTCAGTACGAAGGGCCAGAGATACCTGCGCATCGGGCTGGCTGTGCCTCTCTTTGGCTCGATGGCCTTTCTGAGAAGGATGTTGGCGGATGAGGGGAAGATCTCCCCAGACCAGGTAGGTGATCTTGTCTCACTCTTCTTGATGATGCACACCATCCTCAGATTCACTCTCACTCCATTTTCCAAGTCTCTGATTAAATAAGATAGATACTCTTGCTATCTCTCGCTCTCTCTCTCTTCCTCTCGCCCTCTTTCCTTCAGGTGATCCTGACAGAGATATACACCACAGGCTTTCAGCGCTCCTTCTTTGATGAGGAGGATCTGACGTGCATAGCCGAGACTGACATCATCTATGCCTTCCAGGCCCCGCCCCTATACATCAGAGGAGGCTCTGCACGATTCTCAGGTAACTGTAGCAACAACTACGTATTCCAGGGACATTCAGATCAATATAATCACTATCAACCAAGATCATCCAATAGAATCTGTCCCTTTTCCATTTCAGTCCCATGGTGAAATAAGCCTTTCTCAGTCAAGAGCATACGGAGGTACTGTATTAACAGAATGGGATGTACAACCACTGTGAAATACCAGGGTATTATGTGAAAGTCTGTCCTTCCTCTGGTGGTGATCATTAAATGTTCTTTGTACTGTAGTTTTTACCCTAACTGTGCACTGTTGGCACAAGCCTACCAAACATCAGGATGAACAACTGCTGAGGAGAAATGCATTGTTTCTTTTTTAACAAGATAATGAATGACCTTGCTGTGAGCAAACAGACACACACACATTTGTTTGTATACTTTGGGTCTGATAGATTCCATGAGCAACTCAAAATGTATGGGCCCCATGTAGCTCAGCTGGTAGAGCATGGCGCTTGCAACGCCAGGGTTGTGGGTTCGATTCCCACGGGGGGCCAGTATGAAAATGTATGCACTCACTAACTGTAAGTCGCTCTGAATAAGAGCGTCTGCTAAATGACTAAAATGTAGAATAAGAAGTCCTTGGGGAACATGTGTGCTTAAAACACATTTCAAACACATTTTCAATAAACTCTGATGATCAGATCTACTCAAACCACCATTATTTTCCGGAAGATTTGCTGTCATCGAATGATTTATGTTTGAAGTATCTCTCCTCTATAATTGTACTGATGATGTGAAGGGCAAACAGACATTGTTCACAGAAGCCAGATTGTGTGGATAGTTTCCCCACATTTTTCACCCTGTGTTTAGGAGAGTAGAAAAGGGGAAACTGCTTGCTGTTGTCCCTGAAAATGAGACTTTTTTGCATCACCACTGAGCAAAGTGATTGGTGGAATCTCTTTCTCTCCTTTATCATCTTTGGTTAGACCACACATAATCGACTACTGTCCTAAGGGAGGTCTCTTGGCAGTTTAATTGGTCTGCACACACACACACACACACACACACACACACACACAGGCAGACACTGAATCCTCCTGGGATGTTTTATCAGACTGTGTGCGTAGTGGGGTTGAGATGGAGAGGCCTTTCTCACCACCTCCCTGCTGAACAGAGCATCCTCATCTTCATGCACATAGTCTGTTAACAGAACTCAAACTCACTGGTACACAATGAATACTGAGTAATCATTTTGTAATCATTATCTATCTGGCCTAAAGCTGACGGGCATGAAATGTGGTACTGTACTGACGGAGGACGCTTCGCCTCAGCTTATACCTCATTGGGCTGTGTAATGTGCCTCTTTAAATCATGATGAGATGTAACCTGCTCGTAAACTTTTATGGTCACTGCTGCTAATGGAAGGTACATTTTGTGTACTTGAAATCAATATGTGTTTAGTGATCATGCACCGCAAGTACATTTAACTATGAATGGTGATGGTGATGGGAATGGAGTCGTGTCTGTTCTTCTCCAGAACAGTGTCGGCATTGATTTAAGAGACTCCTCTACTATACCACTCCTGTATTACTCCCTATGTTACATAGAGCATACTTTACTCACTACTTCTCTCAGTATGAAAAGAACGTGGGACTCTACAGAGCTCTGTTCAGCCTCTCTGCTTGAAAGAAATCCTTTCAGTTTAAATCAAACAGACAGACAAATAAAGTGTGGCTTTAGGTTTTGTATTTAATGCATCAATCGAGCCTGATTACTTTTTTTCAGACACCCCCCAAGAATAGTCATAAAGGGTTGAAGAATGTAGGGAGCTTTAGAAAGGAGCACCATGTCCCTCCTGCAGTCACTTTGGGTTAATTGGGTACAACAATATGTAGAAGTAAAAAGCTAAATTCTATGGTACAGGGATTATATCTCAAAATACCATGTTCTTACCGGGGGTCTCATTAGAGCCAAGAGTACCCTTCTTGCCTCTTTCATTTATCAGTTTTGTTGAGGAATGGTTATCACAGGTCCTGTCCTTAGGTATGTAATTAGAACACACATATGATACTGCATGCATGGTTCCTCTTTATCAAGGCTCGGTTTTCTAATTGCTTGACCATTGGCTAATGCACAGGAAATACATCTAGTAGCTAGTGGTGTTTTCGCTACTTTTACTTCTATAGCGTTACTTTTTGACCTAGTTAGTTCAACAAACTTGATAGACTTACTTTCACCAGCATACATTTATAGGCTTGCTTTAGTGTATGTGTCACAGGCTGCCCCCACGTTTGCCAAGAGTTTGTAGGCTTAGGGACAGGTGGTATGTGGACACAGTTATCAAGTGTCTGTGAGAGAAGAGGGCAGCAATTGACAGCATTGGTCAGGTACAGGGCTGGCAGTGTCTTTGAGGAAATTAGTCCCTAAAGACTGACCAGACAGCAGCTAATTTCACCACAGCTTCTGGGTCAGGAGGACTGCCATAATGCCTCTATAGCTGGAAGTTAAAGTTTTTAAAGTGTTCATGTTCGGCCTTGCTCTTCTTACAGAAAACCTGAGCTCGTCTGAATTGTATAATAACTCCTAGACAGAGATGTTCAACAATGTAATGTTGCAGGCTTGTGCTTTGACAAACTGGATATATCTGACTACCTAGACTGTCTGAATTGAGTGTCTCAGGTACTAATAGAATCTGTCAAGCTGAGGCATCAACTGAAATGAATTGTAGCACTTACTGTATGGCTAAAAAAAACAAGAGCCATGGCACCATGCTATACAGTACATTCATTGGTGAATTCAGAGGGTGACTCACTTTAAACACATCAGCGACTGGCTGTCACTAATGGCTATCACTAAATGTTCTAGAAAATTGGTCAAATTCAAATTCATAAAAATGTGAAGCAGGGGCTGTCCACCTCTGTTTGACACACAGCCTATCAGTAAAGTCACTTCACACCTTGATGAGCGTTTTCATTTGGTGCTTGTCAGCTTGGAGATTGAGTAATTGAGCCGCTGTCAACAAGGTTTACATGAACTATCTACAATGTATGGAATCTCCCAGTGTGGCACAAAAGATTAATGAGAGATGATGGTGTCTGGGAGTATGTTTCCTCCTGCCTGACCTGTCATGGCATGGTGAAATATGAAGAGAGGTGTAAGCACTTCCAATGTCAGTTTATGTAAACATTGATTCTGTACCCACAGAGCTCCATTGTCAAGGCAATTCTCATAGAAGTATCTTATTTCACATTCAGTGAAGTGCATCATACACACAGATAACAGGTTCTTTCCCCATCAGGTATTCCCCTTCTTCAGGTTGTATTGGGTTGACAGTGTCTTGGTTGTTCATACCAGGCTCATATTAAGGAAATTAATAACAGATTGCATGACTTTATCTAATCAATGACTGATCCAAACTCAGTCGACCCTGCAGCCCACCATGACATGGTTTGTCCATTGTGTCTCTAATATACTATGGTTGTAATACAGTATGCTGCCTGGCTGCCAGGCCATAGAGTTCCTCTGTCAGGGCATCAGTGGGATTTTCCACATGTGCTTCAATTTACTGTCTAACAAACAGCCAGGGCTTCCAGTTCAGGTGGAACTGATGTGGAACGCTTGTTTGAAAAGCCCAAAAATTAGTTCATGCTCCTCAGTGTGGACACATTCAGTCAGTCTGGCTAACTAGGTCACTCAGTGGAGGAGACGAACACAATGAAGTCATCACTAGGGCTGTTATGGTGACCGTATTACCGCCACAGCGGCGGCCACGAGTCATGACGGCAGTCAAATTCCACGTGACCGTTTAGTCATGGTAATTAGGCTTCACCAAGCTCTGATGCTGCTTTGGTTATTAGTAGCCTACCAAACTTGCTAACTGCCTGGTACTCAGCACTATATTGTCCCTCTAATCACTCTGACATCCATGCAAATGTAATCGAAAATCTAATCAAACACTTCATGAGAGCCCATGAGCTCATGTTGCGCAACATTTCTATAGGCTATGCAATTGCGTAGTAGTGATGGCCTCTATTAAAAAGAGGAGGATCCCATCAGCTTTCTATAGGCTAGGCCTACTATATTTATTTCTCAACTTTCCTAATATTAAGGAGTATAGCCTACCTGTCTGGCATGAAAATGAACCACGGGAAAGCTTCCTCCATTCGTTATTTAAGTGCATAGATGACATGTATTTTTCCCCTGCCCCTGTTTAGAGACAGGTGCATGATAATGGCCATTCTAAGTCAAAACAAATGTCACACATATATTATTTAGTATATGTAAAGACAAAATTAAATCAAGTGACAATATTAGCCTATCACTTGTGGAGCTGCTCTTCCTCCCGGGGAAGGACTGCCCGTTCCATGATCTCGCCATCACGGTTGACAACTCCGTTGTGTCCTCCTCCCAGAGTGCGAAGAGCCTTGGCGTGACCCTGGACAACACCCTGTCGTTCTCCGCTAACATCAAGGCGGTGACCCGATCCTGCAGGTTCATGCTCTACAACATTCGGAGAGTACGACCCTGCCTTACACAGGAAGCGGCACAGGTCCTAATCCAGGCACTTGTCATCTGCCGTCTGGATTACTGCAACTCGCTGTTGGCTGGGCTCCCTGCCTGTGCCATTAAACCCCTACAACTCATCCAGAATGCTGCAGCCCGTCTGGTGTTCAACCTTCCCAAGTTCTCTCACGTCACCCCCCTCCTCCGCACACTCCACTGGCTTCCAGTTGAAGCTCGCATCCGTTACAAGACCATGGTGCTTGCCTATGGAGCATTGAGGGGAACGGCACCTCCGTACCTTCAGGCTCTGATCAGTCCCTACACCCAAACGAGGGCATTGCGTTCATCCACCTCTGGCCTGCTGACTCCCCTTCCTCTGCGGAAGCATAGTTCCCGCTCAGCCCAGTCAAAACTGTTCGCTGCTCTGGCACCCCAATGGTGGAACAAGCTCCCTCACGACGCCAGGACAGCGGAGTCACTCACCACCTTCCGGAGACATTTGAAACCCCACCTCTTTAAGGAATACCTGGGATAGGATAAAGTAATCCTTCTACCCCCCCCCCCCCCCCCCCCCCCCACTGGCTATAGGGTTAACCCACTGGCTATAGGGTGAATGCACCAATTTGTAAGTCGCTCTGTATA